AGTTATATTCTATACAGTGTTAAAGTTATATTCTATACAGTGTTAAAGTTATATTCTGTACAGTGTTAATGTTATATTCTGTACAGTGTTAATGTTATATTCTATACAGTGTTAAAGTCATATTCTATACAGCGTTAAAGTTATATTCTGTACAGTGTTAATGTTATATTCTATACAGTGTTAATGTTGTATTCTATACAGCGTTAATGTTGTATTCTGTACAGTGTTAATATTGTATTCTATACAGTGTTAATGTTATATTCTATACAGTGTTAATGTTATATTCTATACAGTGTTAATATTTGGTAATTGCTCACCAGTTTTTCTGATCATAAATAAGACATTATTTATCATTAATCTATAGTTTACAGTAGGATATTTTCAAAACTTCAGACAATGGTCATTCTGTATCATGTACACACAGTTCTGTGGTAATGTTTCTGAATAACATGATACATTCTATGGATAACAGGTTATCTAAGTTTGTATTTTGGTGCATGTAATTACGTTGTCATGCTAAGTAGTAGTTGTATGAAGAAAATGGCTGTGTAACTATGAATAAGCACCTGTTTGGCTTAATTATTGGTATATGCTATACATTATGTACTGTATAAACAAGGAAATCCTTAACTATAGATATGATTTATAATGTAAGCTGGTTAGATGGGTTTGTAGAGACTTACAAAAGTAGCCAGGGAAAGTACATGTAAAAACTTAGTTACAATCAGGATGACCGACAACCAGAACTAGAACATTCAAAAGATTTCAGTGTGTTATATAATTTCTGTAGTGCATATTGGAGTATAGAAGACATATCATATTAGAAAAAAATAACCCGAAGAAGCCGTAAAGCAAAACATTGAATGTTTAATTAAATAAAAACAGCATTTTGGTGTTATAAGGTCATTTAAGGTCATTATAAGGTCATTTAAGGTCATTATAAGGTCATTTCTAGTATTAAGATTTCAAATTGAATAAGATTATAAGTTTACATAATTATATAATTAATAGAAATAAATGAGCAGCAACTATGAGTACACGATACAGCATCACGCTGTGGAACTGAACCGATGTGTTGGTAATCCAACTACTGAAAGCAATGGACTTGTTTGGCCATGTTATGGCAGACAATACAGGTACTTAACTGCCTACAGCTTACATCTCCTCATTCTTTGCTGTTTCCAGATTACATACTGAGAACAGTTACTCACATGGCTTGGCAGGTATAAAATTACTTTCAATTTTTTAGCAAAATCAAACAACAAACAGTCACAACTTCGTTATGTGCCCCTCTCAAAATGTCTTTGTGGAAATGGATAAAATTGACCAATCCTCCCCAAAACAGCTAATCCAGAGAAGAGGATCGTATGCCTACCAAAGAAACCAAATGGCCCACCTCTTCTCCTTGGATAGAAGTATGACATACTGGTGAGAGATTGGATAAGGATGATCCAGCTCAACGGTGGATTGATCAACTGGCTTCTTATATGGTGCAACCAGAAGAACTCGATAGGATGAAGAGCAAATCATTGCAAGAACCTTGGATAACAGACAAATTGGAGGGAATGCATAAAGATGAAGACTCATCCAATCCTGGCTGAGAGCAACTATGCCAAAAGCCTGAGGGTGAGATACTGGAGACCAGAAGAAATGGAACTGGGCATTTCAGTGTGTGAGGAAAGCAATGATCTGAAGTGTCCCAAGAAGAGAGCAGATCCAACGGAAAACATGGAAGAAGCATCCAATCTGTGGGAAGAGCTCTGGCAGGACAAGAGAATTGATGGGCCACTAAAGTCATCACTCCTGGAAAATGACAAGCAAGGAGAATAGATAGAGTGTGGAACCAAACAAGAAGATCCAATGTCTGAAAAGAAAGAGGCCTGGAGTGAGTGCCCCTTAGCTTTAATATGGATGAAACCACTTTGGAATTGTCCATATTTCAAGAACAGTCTGTTCCACGGCCTGAAGTTGTAGAGGAGAAGGTTGGACACGACTGAGATGGAAATTGAAAAGCACCCCTAAATGAACCAAGGATAGTGTGGGAATAAGAATAGACTTCTCCATTTTAATGAGAAAACCAGCTCTTGCAGCTTCAGATAAGATAACTCAAGTATAAAGTTCTGCCAAGTGGCATGAAGGAACGAGAAAAAGCTAGCTGTCCATATGATGGTGAGTGTGAATGCAAAAACCAAAGTCCTGAGATAAGGAGCTTCTCTGATATTTCTAAGGGCTGAAGAAGGAAGTTGAACACCCTTAAGCAAGGCATATCTCTCCAAAAAGATTCCAACAAAAACAAACCAAGTGACCAAGGAAAGAGCCAAAGCCAATAACCTTACCAAAGTAAAAGTCAATAAATGACTAATATCTTCTGAAAATGGAGCAGATGATCTGTGATAGGCCTCAGACAACAGCTGCAGGGTAGATGAAAACTGCAAAACTGTTGTAAGAGGAAATTAGGAAAACAGAGTTTGGTTAAGATGAACAGTGGCAACAGACCTACAACTCCAAATAGGAATAAGAGGATCCAGCCCCTGAGAATCCAAATATGGGTCCTCCAAGCGATGGAAAGCTAAGGCATGCTGATCTGATAAGCAGGGAGGAAAAGTATGGCAACACCCTCATCAATTGTTCAGCAAATTTCCCAGCATACACAGCAATGTTTGGAAAGGTGGAAAGACCAGACAATCACTCGAATGACTTTCCTCCAACAAAAAGGAAAAGTGCAAGCTACAGGAGAAATGCTTAATACATTAAAAACCTGTTGAACTAGTTGCAAAAATGGCGCAGGATATCCATCCTTGTCTAAGGAGCAGTTCTCTGAGCAAAGGTATATGCCAGAAAAATAAAGTCCAAATTCTCACGAGTCTGCCTCTGATCACCCTGAAGCCTAATCTCTGAGCCAACATCAGGCCTCATGTAAGACTCAATTTTCTACTTATGATGAACTAGATGTCCTCTGCAGAAATGACCCTCCCCCCAATGCTTGAATAGATTCCAGATATGTTAATTCATGTCCTAAAACATCTCAGAGTTTTAAAAGAAAGAAAACAGACAACAAACTCAAGGTGACGAGTGTAAACAAAAAAACAAAAGAAATCATAAGTATAATGAAAACTATGCAACATTGAAGAGAAACCAGCGGACAGCATGTAAAGTTGTCTTCCTAGCATTCTGCCATTGAGAAAAAGTGAATTGGAAGTAATAACAGAGAGCTTATATACGGATCTGATATATGGGACACATTCACACACACGGAGAGAATCATAAGATTTAAATTGCTGTGGGCAATATAGTGGGGTATACAGGCTGAAGCAAGTGAGGTAAGATTCATACCAATGCTTAAATGGGCAGAGAACAGTAACTTTCATCGGGATAAAGCTATAATGTAGGTAAGTGTGTTTTGGAATATTGCCATAATGACTTTCTGATTAACTCAAGGTTGTTCAGGTTAATTGATTAGTTATTCAAGTAATCAAAATATCACGTATTGCAACTTCTGTCAGCATGATTATATCTATCACTATGCGTGCATTCTGCTTGTACACACCTCAGAAATCATTACACATGGACTAGTAACAGTCTAACAGTAACACTGTTGCTAACCTATTTAATTATGGCTACCTCTAGCTCGATAAGACACACCGAAAAGGGAAAACAAAAGACTGGATGTTATCATGTGCAGCTTAAACACTGCCTTGTACAGTAGGCTTCAAGTTGTATGACTTACCGGTTTCTCAACGTGCACATGTTCATATCGTTTCGCCTCAACTATAAAATGTATTAATCATTTTAATGTATTCCTCTAAACTTCCATCCACATCAACAACTTCTGACTTAAAAGTTTACGATGATTTTTATAATTAAGTTGATTATCTTTTTAAGTTTTCACATTGATGAAATTAAACAACTTCTGAAACATCTGTAATTAAAGATTACCGTAATTTTAATATTTCTAACAACACTTCGATTTCCAACTTATGAATCATATTAATCTTTGCAAAGATTGCCATAAGTTTCCTTGCTAAAAAATAAACATTGCACTGACTGTTTTGAATTAGTTTTCACTATCATACACTGTGACAATACCTTTTAGTAGTTTTATCATATGAAATCTAAGGACAACTATTTATAATAAAGAATTACTTTTAGTTTCAGTGCAATAGTTTGTGAAAATTTGTAGGGAGAAACAAAAATAAAACAGTATTGATCATGTTTTCGGCATGTTACGGGTCACATGCTACATAATGTGTACGATACATTCCCATGTAAAACAAGTGGTTTAGGATTAAAAAAGTAACTTAATCCCAAGTTGTTGTACCTGAAGATGTCTATCATGTTACATGAAAGGTAAAAATCCAAAACGATCTGAAAATACAAAGATTAGTCTCATGTGAAAATAATTTCCTTGTAGAATGTAACTGAATAATGATCCCGACAATCGATCAATTAGCAACTTCCAATGATCATCTAGCTCTAATCAATACCAGGAATATTCGTATTCACCAATACCATACATATCAAGCAAACAGACCTTTTTTATTGTAATTTATATGCTTGTAGTGGTTCACGGAGCAACAACTGTAATTATTTATCTTCACAAGAAAAGCTGTCATTAATATCTACTCTATTAATATGTACCTGATACCTCTAGCTACTTGTATACTTATTGCACCCTGAAGTTCTGCCTGCATATACTTACTTTTTTTTAACACTGTTGCCCTTTTAGTAATTGTGCCAGTGATTTTTTTACTTAATAAATAATAAGGTGTTACAGCTCCAAAATTAATTAATTTACACGTAACCTTACAAGAGCCCAACATGTAACCAACTTTATCTAACTATTGAATAAAGTAAAATACTTGTTCTTTCTTTGCAGGAGAGC